TATTGCAGTTTTAATGGAAATGCTGTAATATACTTTTGATCCTTTCCTTAAATAAAATTAATGCCACAAATCTATACATTTATGTAATTTAATTGGGCAATGAAACTTAACTGTTAAATTTATATCCTTATTTATTGACATACAAATGAGTTTACTGAATACCGTACTAAGCAACTGGCTGCAGATTCAGAGATTAAGAAACAGAATTGTGTAATTGACCTTTAATTGTTGCTATATTCTGAATATTAATCATCCTCAAAATTTATTGCTGTCAAGTAATGCCACTGAAGTGAATATTTTGGCTACCTCTAGAAATATGTTAGACAAATGCACAAGTGCCTGCCTAGAACGAGTCAGTAGTTCTACTGTTAGTGCTTCTGCAATGCTCATTTTTATGGTGATGAAGACTTTTCGAATGCGTGAGTACTATAGCTCTGAGTTCAATATATGATTCCATACTCTCAGAGAACATGCACAGTCTTTTAGAGGTGTGCCACTTCTTCACTGAAAATTGAATTTATGGATATTTCAGTGCCTTAAAAATATCGTGAGCATATTACTATGTACACCATGTTCTTTATATCCCCTTTACATATTCCCATTTTCTATTTTTACACTTTAATCATACCTCCAAAAATTCTGTCTTTCCAGAGACTGCAAATTCAATGCATTCAATCTATCTCCCTAAGAGATGTTTCTGATGCATAGACTCAACTTTGTCATCCTTCTCTATATATTTTCCAATGCAATTGGGTCCATTCTGTAATATGGAGACCAGAACTGAGTAGCATAATCTAAACGAGGCCTTACCAGAAACGTATAAATTTGAAGTATGTATAACCTTAGGACATCAATCATTTATATTTCTTTATGTTAAGCCAAGAGTCCTGTTAGGTTTATTGTAAACACTTATGCACTCTTTTAAATTTCTGCGAATGAGAACTAAATCCTTTTTGCATTTAGTGTATAAGTACCCTAGTTATTTTCATTTCTTGGGATTAGAGCCTCATATTTGTCCACAATGAAATGCATGTCCCACTTCACCAACTACATCAACCTATCCAGGTCATCCAGTAGCTTTTTAGCATCCTTGACAGGAATTATATACAGCGCACTTTAGTGTCATTGGCAAACTTAAGTCACTATTTACAGTATTCCCTCATCCGTGTCATTTAGGTAGATTGTGAACAAGAGTCCCAATATTGATACCTGTACTACACCACTTGTAACAGGTCCTCATTCTGATTTCTTCACATTTATGCACATTATGTTACCTATCTGTCCGCTATGCCTCAAACCCGATAATTTCTCCTCTTATATCATGTGCCGCTATTTTTTTCATCAGTCTCCTATGTGAAATGCTATCATAGGCCTTGCTGAATTCACATACGCATTACTACATTCTTAATTTTCGTCTACCACTTTGAATATATTAGTGCAAAAAATTTAGTAAATTTGTTAAGCAAGAATGGTCCTATGTGAGTTTATGCTGAGTTTCACTGATTAAATTATATCATTCAAGGTTTACCTGGAGTTTACCTGGAGAGAGTTCCAGGAGTCAATGCCCCCGCAGCCCGGTGGTTTCATACTACACCTATAATTTATTCCATCAACTTTCCCACAACTGAGGTTATACAGTGGACCCCCGCATAGCGAACTTAATCCGTGCAAGAGGGCTGGCCGTTATGCGAAATGTTCGCTATGCGAATTAATTTTCCCCATAAGAAATAATGGAAATAAAATTAATCCGTGCAAGACACCCAAAAGTATGAAAAAAAAATTTTTTTACCACAAAAAAATTTTAATTTTAGTACACACAAACTGAAAAAGGCATGCACAATTACATGACACTTACTTTTATTGAAGATCTGGTGATGATTGATGGGATGGGAGGAGGGGAGAGAGAGTGTTAGTGTTTAGAAGGGGAATCCCCTTCCATTAGGACTTGAGGTAGCAAGTCCTTTTCTGGGGTTACTTCCTTCTTCTTTTAATGCCACTAGGACCAGCTTCAGAGTCACTGGACTTCTTTCGCACAACATATCTGTCCATAGTGGCTGTTACCTCTCGTTCCTTTATGATTTGTCTAAAGTGGTTCACAACAGTGTCATTGTAACAGTCACCAGCACGGCTTGCAATAGCTGTGTGAGGGTGATTTTCATCAAAAAAAGGTTTGCACTTCAAGCCATTTTGCACACATTTCCTTAATCTTTGAAGTAGGCAATTCCTTCAATTTCTCTCTCCCCTCCTTTGAACCAGTTTCCGCAGGTCTGGCCTCTTGCTCTTGAAGTTGATCTATCAGCTCATCAGTGGTTCAGTTCTTCATTGTCCTCCTCCACCAACTCTTCCACATCCTCCCCACTAACCTCCAACCCCAAGGACTTCCCCAATTCCACAATTGATTCCTCAACTGGTATACTACTCCTCTCAGGGTTAGCCTCAAACCCTTCAAAATCCCTTTTGTCTACACATTCTGGCCACAGTTTCTTCCAAGCAGAGTTCAAGGTTCTCTTAGTCACTCCCTCCCAAGCCTTACCTATAAGGTTTACACAATTGAGGATATTAAAGTGATCCTTCCAAAACTCTTTTAGAGTCAATCGAGTGTCTGTGGTCACTTCAAAGCACTTTTGAAACAGAGCTTTTGTGTACAGTTTCTTGAAGTTGGAAATGACCTGCTGGTCCATGGGCTGCAGGAGAGGAGTGGTATTAGGAGGCAAAAACTTCACCTTAATGAAGCTCATGTCCCCATAAAGTCGCTCTGCCACATCTGTAGGATGACCAGGGCATTGTCTAACACCAGGAGGCACTTAAGGTCTAATTTCTTTTCAGTTAGGTAATCTTTCACATTGGGGGCAAATGCATGGTGTAACCAGTTATAGAAAAATTCCCTAGTGACCCATGCCTTACTGTTTGCCCTCCACAGCACACACAAATTATCCTTGAGGACATTCTTTTGCCTGAACGCTCTGGGAGTTTCAGAGTGATACACTAATAAAGGCTTAACTTTGCAATCACCACTAGCATTGGCACACATCAACAAAGTAAGCCTGTCTTTCATAGGCTTATGTCCTGGGGTGCCTTTTCCTCCTCAGTAATGTAGGTCCTGCTTGGCATTTTCTTCCAGAACAGGCTGTTTCATCACAATTAAACACTTGTTCAGGTTCCAGTCCTTCAGTTTCTATGTACTCCTTGAATTCATGCACATATTTTTCAGCCGCTTTGTGGTCCGAACTGGCAGCCTCACCATGCCGTATCCACTATGGATGCCACTACGCTTCTTAAATCTCTCAAACCAACTTTGCTGGCCTTAAATTCACCACATCATCACTAGTTGCAGGCATTTTTTTAATTAAATCGTCATGCAACTTCCTAGCCTTTTCACATATGATCGCTTGAGAGACGCTATCTCCTGCTAGTTGTTTTTCATTTATCCACACCAATAAGAGTCTCAACATCTTCCATCACTTGCGATCTTTGTTTCGAAAACACAGTTAAACCTTTGGCAACAACAGCTTCCTTGATTGCCGTTTTCTTGCCCACAATAGAAGAGATGGTTGATTTTGGTTTCTTGTACAACCTGACCAGGTCGGTGATACGTACTCCACTTTCATACTTATCAATGATCTCTTTCTTCATTTCAATGGGTATTCTTACCCTTTGAGGTGTACGGTTGGCACTAGAAGCTTTCTTGGGGCCCATGGTCACTTATTTTCCAGAAACAGCACCGAAAACACTGTAATAATACGAAATATTCCGAGTGTATGCTTGGATGTTACCGCGGAGGCTGGCTGGTAAACAATGCCACCGGCGGAACATGTGATTCTGGCTGAGGGCGCACATTGGACGCGTCTCGGACGAAGGCCGCTGAGCGGGTTTTTGTCCACTATGCGGGGCAAAATTTTAGCGAACAAAGCGTCCGCTATGCAGATTGTTCGCTATGCAAGGCGTTCGCTATGCGGGGGTCCACTGTACTGACTAGTCTATAATTTGAAGCTACAGACCTATCTCCTTTGCAAATGGGTATCACATCTGCCGTTTTCCACTTTTCCAGTAAGATATGTATACATTTGTAGTAATCTGTTAAAGAAACTTAGGTAATAGACGACAAATGATTCTCAGTGGATTATAACCTTTATTTATAGTGTGAATAGTTCAATATTAAATTAGTATTACAGGTATACTCCAGATATACCCAGGTATACTCAGTTAGGATAACTCACCCTTACTATGTCATCAGTAGATATGCTTACATTCAGCCAGGAGAATTTCACAACTTAGTACATACTTTAGTAAAGACTGACCCAGACATGCTGCATAACCAAAATAAATGAATTATTTTCATTAATATCTTCCAAGGTAACAATCTGCACACTAAATACTTACCTATTCTGTGGTGTACATAAGTTATGTATTTTAAAATATAAACTAATGCCGGGGTTCCGCCAAGTAATGGTCGTAAACTACAGTCAAGACAAGCTAATAGTTTATTACGTTCCTCTTTTGGACCCCTCAAGGAAGGTTCCTTGATGTTGGTGAGGGGCTCTTGATTTAGGGAATTGGATCTATGCTCCAGTTCCCCAAATTAAGCCTGAATGCCTTCCACATACCCCCCCAGGCGCTGTATAATCCTCCGGGTTTAGCGCTTCCCCCTTGATTGTAATAATAATACGTTCCTCTTTGCATTCCTTTAAAACTTTTGAAAACCGCTCTGTGCTCTGTGACTTGCTTGCTTTCAGTCTACCCAAGTTGTTGGAGGATCGTCTCACAAGCGACTTTGCTCTCGTATAATTTATTCTCTAAAGAACAAAAAGACACAATACTGTGACTGGAATTTATTCTCGTCCTGACCTACTGAATTATTGATTTCTGGAATTTCATTTGCATCTTCTTGTGTAAAGCCTGGCACACTAATGCCTAACCCAAGGTACACAGGCCATTAGGTCAACTCAAACATGCTTGTGGCCACATACAAACATACAGTAATTTCGTAAAAATCTACTTACCAAATAGTCGAGCAGTGCTCCTGGCCGACATGCTGCTACACGTTATTGGTCTCGCTGCCACCTGAACTCTTAATTTCGATAAACTATTGAGTGACGTAGTAAAGCCGACACGCAACATGATATACTCAACATATACAGCCTGTTAGAAATAAGAAAGGAAGGAGGCATCATGAATAAGCTACCGGAAGCATATCGTCATGTTATGGGAGAGTTTTGAGGGCTACCACAGCTCACGATGTTTATCACAGAATGGATGGAATTTGAACTCATGACAGGCGAGTCCTGAAACTCACAGGCCAGTGCGTTGTATCTAGTCCTACCTCCTAGTTTCTGGGGTAGGAATAGTGCCCAAAGTTGGGGTCGGAATGGAAAAGGGGTTTCCCTAATAACCCTCAAGACCAGAAACAGGAACGGAAAGTTCCGAATTAGGGCAAGTGAACAAACATAAAATTCCTAATATCTATTGCCTAATAAATCTTAAGTTAGTCCCATGTTTGCCTAAGATACTCTCCCAATATGGAGCTTTAATAGAAACAGTGTATCATGCCAAGACAAAACCATTCCCATTACTAAATTTACCAGTTTTAATATTGTTATGTTTTGTACTACCTCACCATTATAAATCTAATTAATCACTTCAGTTACCTAACTTTTATATCAGTATGCAATAATGTATGTTAAAATGTGCTGCTCTATAACCTGTGTCAATATAGAATAAGAATTAGGATTAGTCCCGTAGCTCGATTGCTAGAGCACTCAGCTCACACAATGAGGTCCGGAGTTCGAATCTCCTCCGGTATGGCTGAAAAACATTAGCGACGTCTTTCCGTAAGACACCTGCTGTCCTCGTTCACCCATCAGTAAAATGGGTACCTGGGTGTTAGTCGACTGGTGTGGGTCGCATCCTGGGACAAAACTCACCTAATTTGCCAGAAATGCTCTGCATAACGAGCGGCTTTTTATATAGTAGTATGTCATTGATGTCAGCTAGGACTGTATTCCCTGTGCATGTACTTGTTAAAATAGATATTATATTATATTATATTATAGTATTATATTATATTATATTTCTGCCGAAATGCCTAGGCATGCTGGTGGCCTTTGTAATTTAATATTTTATAACATGTAAACCACACATTGTAAGCTTTAAGCAAGGAAATAAACATTTTCATTTTCATTTTTCACTCCCTTGACTCGGCAGAGCCAATTTAGTTGTGCCACCTGAGCGGCTAGTTTATAATGCACGAACGTTTATCCTGTGAGCGGTAGCGCAAGGACACAGGTTTTCCCGAGGTCACAAGAAGTCTGTCAGACCCAGTGGACATTGTTATATCAAATAAAAACGAATTTTAATAATTTCGTATTCACATTTACTTAATATACTTGTTTTTACACAGTACAGTAAGGAATATAGTAAACAAAAATACATATCTCATTACCACTAAATAAAATTAGTCGTAACTGGGTTTCAATCTCTATTAAAACAGATTGTTATCTAGTCAATGAATAATGTAGATGCAGCCTCAAGATTTCAGTAATCTTATCTTTAAAAATGATGTGTTTGCCAGACGCCCAAACTCTTCCCTACATGATGTCAGCAACAGGTTTTTTCCCAAGCCTAGAAATCCTAGAAGCGTGGAGCCAAAGTATGTCACCCGGGATCAATTTGCCCAGTAGGTCCTGAAAGCAAACGGAAAATTCGTCACCAAATGCTTTAGGAATAAGTATCAAGCCTTGCTTCCCGATAAAGGGAAAAGATTTTGGGCCCAAAGCTGGCAGACACAGGTACGGTAGGATTATGGACAGTGAAGTCGGAGTACAACTGTGGACTCCATCTCACATTGGTCTTCAGATGCATGATAGAACTGATGAATTGACTAAGATTGCAAGTAATAGATTACAATCTTGGGCTGTCAGTTTAACAGTTTGAGAACAGTTATACGAAAAGAACTTCAACTGAACTTTATTGACTTAAGACTGATGGAGATTGACACTGTCAGTGAAGCGCTGTTTGACCCTAATGGGTTTGGGCCTTTTTTTTTATTATAAAAAATGACGCCAGTCAGTACATCTGTCATGCAGGAGGAGCCACTGTCTATGGTGCATCCAACAAAATAGCAGACTTTTGGATGTCCTACCCCCCGGCTCGGCTGGGTTACCAGTATTTATTTATTTATTTATTTAGAATTTAGCTTACATATGAGGTACAAAAAATACAGGTAAGAGCAGCATGCAAAGCCACTTATATGCATAGCATTACGGGCTGGCTTAAAATTAAACTTAAGATTAACTAAGCAATGTTTGAAATCAGTGATAAAACATTATTGTAAACAGTAACAAATAAAGCACAAATGAGTATTACAAAGACAGGTCATATGGTTGCTTGCATTGCTGTAATTCAGTCGAATGGAGTATTCTGTTAGGTAGTGTATTTAAAAAAATAATAAAGTTAGATTGGGTCCTAGGTTTAACATTTGTGTGATATAATTGTGAGTAACATATAGGACATACAATTTATAAGGTTCAGTTATTCAGTATTTTTTTGGTTTTGAGTGAGTAAGTGATCTTTGAGAAGAGACTTAAATTTTATAAACAGGTAGTGTTTCTTTTATATTACAGGTAAAGAATTCCAGTTTTTAGGGCCTTTTATGTGCATTGAGTTTTTGGCATAGCGTGAGATGGACACGAGGAACATCAAAGAGTGATCTGTGCCTTGTGTTATGGTCATGTGTTCTGTTGAGGTTGGCAAGGAGAGTTAAGTGTTTATGTATGTAATAGGTGCAATAATAAGTAGGGATATTTTGTATGGTGAGTGGGTTGAGTGTTTTTAAATATTGGTGGAGTGTGTTGCCTGTAGTGAGAATTTTTATCTTTTAAAACTGCAGCCTTTTTTTGGGGTAATTAGTGGTCTGAGAGGGGTAATTGTTGTTGAGCCCCATGCACAAAATTCCATAGGTGAGATAGGGGTAAATAAGAGAGTGATAAAGGGCCAGGAGGGCTGACTGTGGAACATAGTACCGTATCTTCGATAGTATGCCTACAGTCTTGGAAATTTTCTTAGAAATTTGTTGTATATGTGTATGAAATTTGAGTCTATTATCGAGGTGGATTCCTAGGAATTTTCCCTCTGTTAGCTTTGTGATAGGTGATCCGTTTATTGTTATGTTAAGTGGTTCCCAAACTGGGGGTAATGGTAGAGTAATGGTAGAGTAATGCTCTCTCTAGAGTCTAGAGAGAGCATTACTCTACCATTCTTCCTCTGAGTCTAGAGGAAGAATGGTAAAGTAATGCTCTCTCTAGACTCTAGATAGAGCATTACTCTACCATTACCTACCATTACTCTACCATTACCCCCAGTTTGGGAAGAGGTACATCTGTAGCTCTGTTACCAAACTGAATGAAGTAGGTTTTGTCAATGTTTAGTGTAAGTTTGTTAGTCCTCATCCAGGTAGATATTTTCTGTAATTCGGTGTTTACAGTATTGGCTAGCGTGACTGGGCTCGGGTGAGAGAAGACGTATGTAGTGTCATCTGCAAAAAGTGTGGGTTTGAGTAATTGCGAAGCATTTGGTAGGTCATTTATGTATAGGAGAAAGAGAAGAGGGCCAAGGACGCTTCCCTGTGGGACACCAACTGTAATTGGTTGTGCGGAAGAAAATTGCCCCCTTTGCGTACACATATTGGCTTCTGTTGCTGAGTAAAGACTTGAGGTAGTTTAGGGGGTGCCCTCTAATTTCCCTAAATGTGACATTTTACGTGGACAAGTCATGGTCAACTGTATCAAAAGCTTAACGTAAATCAATGAAGATCCCCATGGGACTTCTTTTTTCTCTATTGCAGTGTATATATGTTCTAGCATGTGTATAATAGCATCATTAGTATTTTTATTAGGCCTGAGCTCCAAATGGCAGGGGTTTTAGAAGTTTTGGGGGGGGGGGGATAGGTAGGAGTAGATTCGTTTATGAATTAATTTTTCGAAGATTTTTGAGAGAGGGTGTAAATTGGATATTGGCCTATAGTTATTCAACTCTGTTTGGTCTCCTCCTTTATGGATCGGGGTGACCCTTGCTATTTTGAGAACTGTAGGGAAGGTGGAGGATTCAATGGAATCTTTGGCAGGTTAATTCACCATCACCAGATGTAGACCAAACAAAATGTAAGCGTTACCAGATGGATTATTGTCACACCTTGCGTCATTATGTACTAGAATGCTATAAACTTAATGAATTCAGAGACAACTCATTCAAAAATGTTCAAGAAATGTCCAAGTATTTTACTCACAGTGGTATATTATAAACCAGTCTGGAAAAATACCCTGACTTTGCCCACTGTAAATGAAGCATTACTCAGGGTCGACAATCAAAATTATTTTTTTTATGACCGAGACTCATTATCCTAACACCAAAGATTTCGAAAAAGCAATTAATGAAAAGCCCATGCACTCTGCCCAGACCCGGACTCGTGGAACTCTGTGTTCATCAAGAACTGCAAGAAACCCCTGTCACGTGCCTTTAGCATTCCATGGAGAGGGAGCATGGACACGGGGGGTCATCCTGAAGTTACTAAAAACAACAGACATAGCCCCACTCCACAAAGGTGGCAGTAAAGCAATTGCAAAGAACTACAGACCGATAGCGCTAACATCCCATATCATACACAAATAACCCGCACATAAAAGAGAGGACCTTACAACGACGTTTCGGTCCGAATTGGACCATTTACAAAGTGAAGAATTGAGACACTTATGCAACACATGGGAATCTTTATTGAAGAAACGTTTCGCCACACAGTGGCTTCATCAGTCCAATACAAAGTAGAAATGGGTAAGGAGAGTAGAAGTATGAGGTAATCAGTCCCTCAACCTGGATTCGATGTGTTCAGTCCATCACTCTTGTAGTAAGTGCAGCATAGGGCCAGAGAGGTGGCTTATATACTGCGGTGAGATGAGTTGAAGCAAGATCCCGCCTCCTCCTGCTTCAACTCATCTCACCGCAGTATATAAGCCACCTCTCTGGCCCTATGCTGCACTTACTACAAGAGTGATGGACTGAACACATCGAATCCAGGTTGAGGGACTGATTACCTCATACTTCTACTCTCCTTACCCATTTCTACTTTGTATTGGACTGATGAAGCCACTGTGTGGCGAAACGTTTCTTCAATAAAGATTCCCATGTGTTGCATAAGTGTCTCAATTCTTCAACTTGTCGGTTTTCAAAACCATTCATCACAT